GCCTTCATATACATGTGTAGCTAATGAGAAATGATGGTGATAAATAAACAAACAAAATATTGATGTGTGGTATGAAGGAAATGAGTAAATAATACAACTACCTAGTAAAAAGTAGCCTCGCCAGTCTTGTTTTTGGCATAAAGTGAAAGTGAAAGTCTCACAGTCATGTCTGACTCTTTGCAACCCCATGGACTGTAGTCCATGGAATTCTCCAGGTCAGAATACTGATGTGGGTAGCCATTCCATTCTCCAAGGGGGATCTTCACAATCCAGGGATCAAACCTGGGTCTACTGCATTGCAGGCAGATTCTTTACCGTCTGAGCCACCAAGGAAGCCCCCCTTTTTTGAAGCATATTAAACCTAATTGTGTCGTTCATTTATTTATTCATCTACTTAATTATATTCTGTCTCCTTCTGGACTGTAAGCACCATGAGATCAGGGACCTCATCTTGTTTTCTGCTGATCTCAAGTGTAAGGATGCTGCCTGGCATATAGGGGAACACACAGCAAATATTTATTCAATGTATTTGTGGACTGAGTAAGGGAAATTGGATTCCCAGGCAGCTCAGTGGTAAAGCGTTCACCTGCAATGCAGGAGACTCAGGTTTGATCCCTGGGTTGGGAAGATCCCCTGGAGAAGGAAATGGCAGCCCACTCTAGTATTCTTACCTGGAGAATCCCATGGACAGAGGAGCCTGCTGGGCCTCTGAGGAGGTGCAGAAGAGTTGGACCGGACTTAGTGTCTCCACAGCAACAACAGCAAGGGAACATGATGGAGAGAAACTGACAGATCCCCTGTGCAAAACTAGGGGACCCAGAAAGCATTCTATCTGTATTTGTATTGCATTTGTTTTTAAAATTCTTTACTTTTCTAAGCTAACATTTTTTTAGGGGAGAAATTTTTCAGGTAGAGAAGGTATGGAAAAGTAAAAACTTGTAAGATCTAGAACAAGTGCTTGACCAAACAACTTCTATTTATTTCTCTTTATTGTTAGATATGGTATTTGTTTTTTAAATTTATGATTGATTGATTATTTTTAAAAGGCTTATTAAAATTTCAAAACAAAATTGTAAGACTATTTTTTAAAACAGATAGCATGAAGAATCAGGGGACCAATTTGTTTAAGTTCAGTGATCTTTTCTCATTTCAAAATTTAAGAAATTGGCCTGCTGAAAACACATGTTTTCACTTAAAATCTTCTGAAATATAGTCATAAAGACTTCTAAAATTTTAGGATATAAAATGGTTTTCCTTTGCTTTCTCTTTTATCTCTTAACTTTAAATATTTACTTTAAATCAAGAAAATTTGAATTCCCTTAGAGAAAAATGAGCAAAAGACAGAACAATAAACTGTTACAATAAATGAATAAATTTTAAAAACAGAGACAAAGAATATAAAGAAACACAAAGAACCAGAAGCCAAATGGAAGACTATTCTATTCTTTAGCAATCAAGGAACTGCAAATAAAATAATGTAACCTGCTTTGCATACCAACTTGGAAAGAGACAGTTTGAGGAAACAGGAAGTCATACAGTTATTGTGAATATAAACTGTTTTAACCTTTCCAGGAGCAATTTGACAAATTGAATTAAAAGCCTCGAAAATATTTTGCCTTTGACCTATTAATTTCACTTCTGAGAATATATATTAATGAAAAAGTGAAGTATGTATGGCTATTTTGCCATAAAGATAATTAGATGAAGTGCTATTTAAGGTAGCAAAGTATTAGACATCATTTATAGAATCAATAAGAGCAAAATAAAGTTTATAGCATTTTATCTTAATCCAATATAATAGTACTTAGACATTAAGACTATTTTCCACAATTGTATTTAGTGACGTGGGAAGATACTGAAGATGTATTACAGGGGACAAGAAGCAAATTAAAAAGTAATTGTTACGATATTGTATAAAATATTTACATAATTTGGAGAAAGGGAGACAGAGACTGAGGTAGGAAAAATGAAGGCTACACAGATGTGTTTGTAGTGCATGAGAAAATTGTGCCTGCTTTTCAATATTTTTCTTATTTGTTCATGGTCTGTGACTTTCCTATGGTGATCACACAAGTGTCTATGTTAAAATCTATGTGCTTTAGTTAAAATGTAAAGATCCATAGTCTTGCCTTAAAGTTTCCCTGGAGAAATGAATAAAATTATGGACAAAGGGCATGAATAGGCAGCTTTTGTAAGGAGACACCTGCTTGGCTATCCTGGATGTGAAGAGATGCTTGAACTCATAGGTGATGGAAGAAATGCAATTGTAATGTCATTGAGATACCACTTTGTACCCACTGAATTGGCCCCCAAAGTAGAAATTTGGTGAGAAAAAGGGGAACTAGAATTCTGGTCAGGGTCTAGATCAACATTACTCTTTACAGGAAATGCATCCAAGGCCATTCTGAGAGCACATTGAGATAGGTTTTTCTGCAGTTAACCGCCAGTCCAGGTCCCAGTGATAATAAGAATTTTTTTCTTTTAAACACAAAATCAAACTGACTTTGTTTTATTATGGATTATTATGAGCTCATTAGTATTATGAACTTTGTTTTATTATTTGTACTATGGATAGAAAAAACAAATAGGAGTCCTGCTTCTTTCAGTGTAATTCACACAAAGTGTGTTGTATGAATAATAAAAAGTAAGTAAAATTTTGGTGAATGATCACATGAATTTAGATTTTGTGATAAATGAGGAGAAAATGGCTAAAATGATCAGATATATGAATTTACAAAATTCATTTATTCATTTTTCAATTTACAAGAATTTACAGCATTCACGTAGAGAACTTGCTGAAACCTCAAGAAACCACCGACCCTGGAGTCACAGGGCCACTTAGGACACAGGGTGAGGAAATGAGAATTTGACTAGAAACATGTCAGATATTGTAGACAATGAATGCTTTATACACCGTGAAAGTCAGTCATCGTAACTCACTCCCAACTTAGAAAAATATTCGAAAAGATTTTATAAACAAAAAAGATTCCAGTACCGTCAGTATTGTACCTTCCTCTGACCCCCACTGTAGGGCTGGAGTATGAACACAGAGAAGTATGCAGGGCCCAATTGTGAAGGACATTGTAGGTCATGGTGTGTGTTTTCCCCTTAAAAAATTATTAAAAGCACATATTTAGAGTTTTCATTTTAGAAAATAGTTACAGAAATTTAGATTAAAAAGAACATACGTGATTAGGTGATCAAGCTGTGAATGAAACAGACCTCGAAGAAAAGCAGATGGGCTTTACCATGATGCTAGCCAGGCAAGATGTGGTCAATGTTTATTTCGTACACAAGAGCTGGAATGAAGGTAAGTTATCATATCCAAGGAGGCCAAGAGTAGAGGGAAAATCCAGATGGTGAGCATAAGCTAAAACCTTAGGAAGTAGTAGTGAGGATTAAGAGTAAGAATATCATGTCTACCCCTGAAGACCAACTCAGGCAGTGACAGTGCAGACAGAAGACCAAGGATTTTTTTCAGTGTTGTCTGTGGTACCAGAGAGCTGGAGACTACTGAAGCCTCCATCTCTGGGGAGAGGGGATAAGTAAATTGTGGTTGATGGTCACCATGGAATTCTGTGCAGCCACAGCCAGGATTAGGCATGCAACCAGTAAAGCGGTTACATCTGAAAAGGTCCAAGCGAGGGTTGCCAGATAAAATAGAGAGTTAAATTTGAATTTCGGACAAACAACAAATACTTTTTCAGAGTGTGGTCCAAATATTTGCTAAATCTGGCAACCCTGGTCATCAGTTCAGTTCAGTTGCTCAGTCGTGTCCGACTTTTTGCGACCCCATGAATTGCAGCACGCCAAGCCTCCCTGTCCATCACCAACTCCTGGATTACTCAAACTCATGTCCATGGAGTCAGTGACGCCATCCAGTTATCTCATCCTCTGTCATCCCCTTCTCCTCCTGCCCCCAATCCCTCCCAGCATCAGGGTCTTTTCCAATGAGTCAGCTCTTCACATCAGGTGGCCGAAATATTGGAGTTTCAGCTTCAACATCAGTCCTTCCAATGAATGCCCAGGACTAATCTCCTTTAGACTGGTTGGATCTCCTTGCAGTCCAAGGGACTCTCAAGAGTCTTCTCCAACACCACAGTTCAAAAGCATCAATTTTTCAGCACTCAGCTTTCTTCACAGCCCAACTCTCNGTACTCCTTTTCCTATTTGGAACCAGTCTGTTGTTCCATGTCCAGTTCTAACTGTTGCTTCCTGACCTGCATATAGGTTTCTCAAGAGGCAGGTCAGGTGGTCTGGTATTCCCATCTCTTTCAGAATTTTCAGAAATTTCCCTGGTCATAGCATGGCACAATTTGTGAAAATGAAAGGTATGTACACAGGCAAATCAACCCAACTTATTTCATAAGGGTATAGAGCAAACCTGTCAATAGCTATTGCGGGGGCAGGGGGATACAGGAAATAAAAAGGAATAAATACATATTATATAAGTAAATGAGAGGGCCTTAAGTTGACAGGTGGATGGTAATAAACTGAATCAGATTGACTCAATTCTCTGTACCTAAATCCAAAAAGAAATTTAAAAAAATAAATTTTTCTGCACTCTCCTGTATTTTTTTACTGAAGCCCTGAAGACACTGCCTGGCTGATAGATTATTCTGCCCTACAGAACGATCCCTATGAAATAGTCCGGCACTGCAGGCAAAATTAAGTGGCAGAAAAGAGTAGGAGAGGGAGTGGGTAGGTGACAAGGGGCTCAGGGGTAAGAAATTTATAAACCGAGTGAAAAATGAAACTAATGAACAAATCAGTTAGGAACACTGCTTCTCCTAGATTTACTGTTTTAATAGAGGAATGGGCTCACATTCTTAGAGAGTAAATAGTAGTAAAAGATTATCCATAAGCACAAATCCTAACTGTTGCCATGGCAACAGCCAGCCGAATAGGCAAAGTCGCAGTTTCCCCATTGGAAAATGATAGTTCAATACATGTCACCAGTAACACTGACTTTTAATTTTTTTTTTTTTTTCATGTCACAGCTGATTACAAGGAGAGCTTTAATACGATTGGCAACATTGAAGAGATTGCCTATAATGCTGTTTCCTTCACCTGGGACGTGAATGAAGAAGCAAAAGTGAGTGAGAAAGTAGCATTGATTCATTGGTCATACCTTTTAAGTATCACATCCTTTCTCTGCAGTGGATTCTTTGACAAAAGCCTCTGTGAGTAGAGAAAGATCTGTTAACTTGATCCAGAAAAACGGGAAATGAACCTATTGGGTTTCTCTAGAAGTCACACACATTCAGTTACTGAGAAGCTGAATCAATTGCCTTTTGACAGGCAAAGGGGTGTACCTGTTTCTCTGGGGCCTCCCGCTGAAAGGGCCAGGCCCCTTGTCCCTCCCGATTCCTCCAGGCCCCCAAGCTCCATTTTATCACTTGGGGCTGACAGGACTGGGCCCCAAACCCTCTTCTCCCTGTACTGAAGTTTCCCCAAACGCCTCTGCAACCGCCTCCTTCTTCAGAGGCAGGACAGCGTTCAGAGCTTCTGTCTGCACACGTAAGCAGCTGGGCCACCCCGCCCCGACTCCTGCCTCTTCCAGGCTTCAGCTGGCCAAAGAGGGATCAGGAAGCAGGGCTGCAGGTCTCTCAACTTCACTCCCTGGGGAAAAGCCACCACTGTGACCTTGAGCCATTTCTTTCCCGTTGACCTTAGGCTTTTCTTATTTCTGTCTGGTGCCAGCACAGTTAAAAAGGGCAAAGGTAAAAATCTCTGGCCAGGTGCATTCTGAGGAAAGACATCCACCGTTGCACGAATTTGGGTTAAAAAAAGCAAGTCTTGTGGATACTCAGAGCCACGAGTCTCCAAGTGTATGGAAACTGAACTTCGTGGCTGTGCCCACTCTTCATCCTGGGTTCTGTACCTTCTGATTCTTGAGCTTCATTTTGCGCCAAAGGGAAGGTTTCAGGTGAACCCTAAGCTTGTTTTCTGCTTCGGTTACGTACCATGTAGGCAGTGGCTGTGCCCACTCTTCATCCTGGGTTCTGTACCTTCTGATTCTTGAGCTTCATTTTGCGCCAAAGGGAAGGTTTCAGGTGAACCCTAAGCTTGTTTTCTGCTTCGGTTACGTACCATGTAGGCGGGCGTTAGAAGACTTTGTCTTTAAATTAATGAAAAGGTCAACGTAAACAACCACTTTCAATGCTTCATTGTCTGGAGCAGGGGGAGCCGGGTGAGAAAGGAAACTGGATGGGAGTTCGTGGGCATGATTTAGAGATGAAGATGAATTGCTCAGTGTCTCATTTCACTCAGGTATAAAACAAAGTAAATGAAACTGGCGTTAGGCCCAAGAAAGGTGACCTAAATGGGCAAGCAAAGACAGAGGTCCGGAGCGGCCGAGGAAACGTTTCGGGGCTCGGTGCATCCGCGGGAAGGAGGGAGGCCTTGCGATGCAGTGGGAACTCGGGTTCCGCACAGAAGGGCAGGAAGAGCTTTTGCTCAAGGCTTTCCTCTGTTTTCGCTTCGAGTTTCTCACCCGAGCCTGGGGCTTTCTCCTCATGACCCTTTGCTTCTCCCAGAGGCGAGATTACTGGGCTGGGTAAGGGAGAGGCAGCCTGGTGGTATCAGGGCCCGGACCTGGAATCCTTGGCAAGTCATCTGACCCCTCTGGGCTTCGGTCCCCTCACACAAAGCAAAAACAAAACAATTTTTCCAATTGTCTCTGCTGTGCCAAGCATGTGCTTGGGGGTTTGATGTGTGAAAACTCAGCCTCCGAGGGAGGTAGGGGACAGCAGTGTGTGAGGAGTGAAAGGCAGGTCCAAGCACAGCCATCCACTGTGAAGACAATGGGATCCTCCCTTTGGAATACCTTGTCACGGTAAAGCGAGCTGAAACTGCAACCCTCATTTTCCTTTTCATGGAATCTGATAATAAGTTGCTAGAATGGGAATATGTTAACTGTCACCAGTCAATAGAACCTTTTAAAGAAAATGCCAAAACCGGAAGGGACATCTTGAATAATGGTGGCTCTCTGGTCAACTAACGAGATAGTTAATTTGGGGTTGAGTTGACTTTTCTTTCATTTCTCATAGGCAGGGCTCACTTGTCTTGTTTAAATATGTGTGTTTGTACATGTGTATTGTTCCAGGCTGACACATTTACACTCACATGTGCTTTGACAAATGGCAGTACTTGCTTGTTGTAGCACAACTTGTTTCTTTAATACATATTTTTAGTAGCTATTATTTGGTAGTTGTAATCGTGTACAGTCTGGATAAGTAATAGAAATAATTCCAAAGAATTTTGCTGAACTACTGAAAGAACTTTTAAAGAAAATCCATAAAAGTTAAATTCGTTTCATTAGGTAGGCTGAGAAGATTTTTTTTTTTTTCAGGCTGCAGGACATAAGGTTTTTCTTTAAATATAATTGATTTTATAATAAGCAGGCTGCAAAAATAACCCCACAATTACACAATTGGGAAAAAGTTTTCAACAAAGCAAGGCATATAAAGGGCTTCCCAGGTGGCTCAGTGGTAAGGAATTTACCTGCCAGTGCAGGAGAGGCAGGAGACGTAGGTTTGATCCCTGGTTCGGAAGATCCCCTGGAGAAGGAAACGGCAACCCGCTCCAGTATTCTTGCCTGGGAAATCCCATGGACAGAGGAGCCTGGCAGTCCATGGGGTCCCAAAAGAGCTGGACGTGACTTAGCAATGAAACAACAAGAAAGCAAGGCATGTCCCTCTCATGGTGGAATTGCTTATAATTTTCATATTGTGGACTTCTTCTCGGGAGCAGTTGGATTGGCCTACAGGTTCCTGTGGGTAACAGCCACACAGGAATCCATTGGAGTCTTCAGGATTGGGGCCCCATTCAATGGCACCTGTTGTTTTGGTTTTGGTGTGGCCAGAGGACACAAATTTGTGACCCACCACCTCCATATGGTCCACAGAACATAAATGTATGTGTGTTTAATGCACTTTAAGTACTTTTATTCCAAATTTTAAAATATCTTGCCTGCATTTAATAATCAGATTTTTTTTTTTTTTAATCCAAGTTTCCAGATTCTTTTGGACTCTGGCAACATTAGCCCAAGTGTTTGCAAGGCTGTGAGTGGCTCTTGTGAGGCACCAACTGTTCTCTTGAATGCTTTCTCTGCCCTTCTCCCTCCTGGAGCTTCCCTTGCCTGGTCCTCATGGACATTGAGTTTTCATGCCTGAATCACACCCTCTCAAGCAACCAAATATGCAGTTTACCCCTTTACTGGCTTTCAGTGTTAGGGAAAGTAGTGACACAAGGGAGGTTAACACAGGGAGGAAGGGGGCAGTCAGCAACGCCATCACCCTCCGCTGGTTCCTTTGGCAGCAGGTTGCACAGAGGGTGAGTTGGTGCCCATACAGAGTTGCAGTGCCTTCCTTTGGAACACACACAGTGGTAGTAAATCATGATCTTTGAAGACATTTTTTAAAAAATCAGAATCATTGGGTCCAAATGTAAATAGATACCAACAATTTGAATCATACCATTTCAAGGGTAAAAATTATATATATATAATTTATTAAATTTATATATGCCTATATAAATTTACATATACAAATACATATACATATACAAACATATACATACATATATAAAATATACATATATATTTATACATGTATATACAAATATATGTATACAAATGTACATACATGTATATAAGTATATACATATATAAATTTATATATATGTATACAAATATAAACAAAGATGCATACAAATATATATATTTGCATAAGACCAACTTTGACGTAGGCAATATCTGAAAAAATGCTACGAATGTTCTTTGAGTTATGTAAGTATCATTTGAGAAAACCATGTGTCTTCCCAAGATAGCTTGTATTTGGGCATTTGGCTTCCCTGGTGGTTCAGATAGTAAAGAATCTGCCTGCAATGCTAGAGACTGAGGTTCAATCCCGAGGTCAGGAAGATCCCCTGGAGAAGGGAATGGCTACCCACTCCAGTGTTCTTGCTTGGAGAAACCCCTGAACAGAAAAGCCTGGTGGACCACAGTCCACGAGTTCACAAAGAGTCGGACACGACTGACCGGCTTTCACTTTCACTTTTGGTTTTGGTGCATTTTCTAAAAAAATAGAATAAAACAGTCTCATATTTGGTAGTCTCCCCACGTATGCATCATCAAGACCTGATGACAAGATTTATGGATTTTTTTCCAGAACACTACTCTTGTCTTTTGTTGCTGACCTACATTCTATTCTTACCTCTCCTTTAGTGGGAACAGAAGTAAAGAAAGAACGTGAAACTGTAATCACTTAGTTTAATTTAATTACAGGAGAAAATTTGGCCAGGGAAGGTGTTAACACTGTTCGCTAAAATGAGGTTGTGGGATTAACTCCAGGTTGCCAGTCTCAAGGGCAGTGTGGTTCTGGCAGAACTCCTGCAGTTTTTCCTCCCAGAACCGGTTCTGCTGGTTTTGCTACAGTGTCTCCGCACAATGGCACCGGTAGCCCAGAAAGCTTCTCTGGATGGCCATTCCTTTCCCCGCAGGCTCTGCACTGTCTAGAAGCTCTTGTAATATGAATGGGTGTCCCGGGGTCCCTGGGAATGACTTAGGTGGCATCTAGGTAGGTGAGGTTCTGAGCATCCTTGCAGTCACAGTTTGGAAGTTGATGGGGGTGGGGCACAGGATAATAAAGAAGATAAAGCCCTGAAATGGGGCTCAGGCCGCCAGGTCTCCGGGCAAAGGAATAGCCGCTTTTGTGTCTTCCCCTTCTTAGCTTCAGTTTCTCAGCTGGAAAATGGCAAGAAGGGGACCCGGGCAGGATTGATAAAGTATTAAGGTCCCATCCTTATGATTCTAGTGGAGGACTACAGGGCTAGGTTTATTCGCATGACTCCCACTTACAAGGTCATTTTAATGTTTCTTTCTCCCCACAGCCAATCCGGTACCTACAAAGTAGATTTGTTGCTCGCTAATTCCCAAGATGAGAAATTCCCAGGCAAGCCCCTATTGAATTATTAAAGAGCGGTGAGCTCTGATTCCTGGCACTGAACGCCGGTGATGACATCATCCCAGAGCAGAAGCTCACAAACCCTAATTACAGGCTTTCCTTTCTCCCCAATTTCTAAGGAGATTCT